GCACCTCCTGCAAGAAGAGTGAGTGGGGAAGGAGAGCTGGGGTGGGGGCTAAGGTTCAGCGGGAACCCACACAGAGCTGGCTCTGAGAAATGTACTTTGCTGCTCAGGGCAGTTCAATTGTTTCTCAAAGCATTATGCTCTACAGCTCCCAGGGCCAGTCTAGTAGCTCTGGCCCGAGCTCTCCTAAGACAACCTCCTCTCCCATCTTGTTGGGGAAGAAGCAGGTCTTCAGCAGGGCCTGTGTGGCAGGAGCTCCTAGGACAGCAGCTCTGACCTCTTCCTCTCCTGTGTTTCCAGGCTGCTGCTCCTGCTGCCCCGTGGGCTGCTCCAAGTGTGCCCAGGGCTGTGTCTGCAAAGGGGCCTCTGACAAGTGCACGTGCTGTGCCTGATGGGAGGACAGTGCGGCTCCCACGTGCAAACAGTGTGGACCAACCCGGAGATTCTCAGACAGCTCTACACTGATAACTAAACCTCCTTTTTCTGTGAAATATGTGAATAAAATCCAATTTGATTTGACCTCTGGTTTTCTTGTGTGACTTAGAAATAAGGAACTCGGTGACAGATGAACTTTATGGGACAGTAATTTGGTTCTGGTCTCATAACTTCTTCAACCCCAGGCACAAAAGAGAAGGAAGTGTCTTAGTAGAGAGTCGAAATATGTCATGAACTTCCTCTTAATGGAAGACACAGCTGTGTGCCGGGTTATGTCTATGTGTGTCTCTGTGTGTATGTGTAGATGCATAGAAATGGCTCAATCCTTTATTCACATTTTCTTTCTAATCCAGTGTAAGCTCACACTGTGGGTTATAAAGGGATGAAGAGTTCTGAGCATAACACTGGGTCTTCACACTGAATGTTTTTTTTTTCTCTTGGTGGAGAGATGTTGGAGGGTCTTTGATGTTGGCATTGACACCAGATCTTAACAAGTTTCTTAGGTTTGTCTAGAATTTCCAGCCCAATCTGGCCTTGAATTTTTGATTCCCCTGCCTCAGTTTCCCAAGGACCTTATATTACAGGATTAACTGTGCTCCCAGGTCACTTAAATGTGATGTAGAATCAAGTGTGGCTCAGCCTGCAATCCCAGCATTAAGAAGTAAGAGCAGGATGGTAGGTGTACAAAAGAGGCTGAGGTACATGTGACCCTATCTCAGTATATAGGTGCTCCCAAATACCAACCACACAGATATTTCATCCTTAGATGTTCTTAATAGTTTGTTTTCACTTTAGGTGTGTGCGTGTATGCACGCACATGTGCTTTTGTGTGTGTTTTATTGTACATGCACATTTTCTGTGTGTGTTTGTGTGCACATACATGTGCTTGGGTATTTGTGTGGATGTACATACACATGGACTATGATGAATTTGGAGCACTTTACACCTTACTTTTTTCTTTCTTTCTTTCTTTCTTTCTTTCTTTTTTTCTTTCTTCCTTCCTTTCTTTCTTCCTTCCTTCCTTCCTTTCTTTCTTTCTTTCTCTCTTTTTTTCATCAAGACAGGGTTTTTCTGTGTAGCATAGGAACCAGTTTAGAAACTCACTCTGTAGACCAGGCTGGCCTGGATCTCACAGAGATCCAACAGCTTCTGCTTCCTTAGTGCAGGAATTAAAGGCCTCTGTCACCAGCCCCTCAGTGACCCCCTTACTTTTTGAGAAAAGGTCTTCTGTTTAAATTAGAACTTGATTTATTTCTGTCAGGCTGGGTGAGCAGTTGTTCTGGGTACCCAGCTCACTCCACCCATTCTCATCTCAATACCCGGGTGACAGACTTGGACCACCACTCCTGGCTTTTCATATAGGAGCTGGGGATTCAAACCCAGGTCCTCAAGATTGAGCACCAAACACTTTACTCATTGAGTCACATACCTGACCCTTACAGTTATTATTTTCTATGCACCTCAAACCTGATGTTTCTCAAATGCTATTATTGGTTAAAAAAATGAATTCTAAGAGTTTGAAAACCATATATTGAAGATTCCAAGGAAAACAATAAATATATGAAGACGCAGGGAATCTAATGTAACCACTCCTCACTGCTGCTCATGGAGTAACTGTGTGCATACATCTGGAGCTGCACTGGACCAGAGATCAGAAAGGAGCTCAGGGATAGAACCCAGCAGCACTAGACCACCCCCTGGGTGGACTCCACTGCTGGGACTTAGGTGAAATCTGGTGCAAAGCCAGGATGAATTTTCTCTTTTAAATTCCAGCGGCATGATCAGGGATTGGAGGCAGCTGCCCACGTATATAATCTTCTGACTCTAAATGGAGTGCTTTGCTTAAAAAAAAAACTGCTGTCTATGAACTGGGAAGGGCTCATTGTTATAGTTTTAGGCCAAGAAGCTCTGTTTGTCTATCTACTGCATGGAGAATATAGGACAGAGAAAAATGACTATGTCTCTTTTCTTATTGGATACAATATACTGGATACAATAGAAAAGAGACCAAAATAGAGGTGGGGACAAAGACAGGCAATGTATTAGAAGCCAAGGTGACATCAGCAAACACCCCCACCACCTCCACTACCGAATTTGCTAGAACCACAAAAAAGAAGCTGAATGACTGCACACAGATTAGAGCTGAGTTCAAAACCCTGCCTCCTGCCGGGTGCCTAGGGGCCAGCTCAGAAGGAACATCCTGGCCAGGTGCACTCTGCAAGCAGAGATTGCACCTGGGGGGAAGCTCGCACTCAGCTCAGCTACAACTAGTTGTGTGATGAGGGTCACAGTTTACCTGGGCTGGGAAGAAGAGTGCTGTGGATTTCAATGGGCCCAGTGCAAATTTGGAAGCTGCCAGTCTTATTCTGTCCTAACTCACCGCCCAGTGGGGCCTCAGCCTCCTCAAATTGTTGCTTAGGACTTCCAGTGTGGTGTAAGGTACCTGGCATGGGTCTTAGGGTGCTCAGTTCCCAGCTGCCATGTGACATAGCCAGAGGAGGTCACATCTTGAGTTCTGAACTGAGTGGACTCACTTTGTCCACTGCTTGCTTTCTGGTAAATCTCCTGAACGCAGGGCCGCCTTGCCCATCTAGCCTTGTTAAAATTCAGGGATTGGGGTCCAGAGTTCATATCTTCCCCCGTCCACACCCCTTCTCCTTTCAAGGACATCGTTGAACTGGTCAGGTGCTGCTGGCTGCACCCAGAGGTCTGTGCAGACCTGGAGTGTAGAAGGTTGAGAAGGTGCCTCTGGGGGTATGAAGACCTCGGGTCATATCCTAAATCGTTGTCATGCTGGGCTGGCTCTTGCGTGTGTGACTTTTCCTTTGTGGGTTAATAAGAGAGTGTGTTTGCCCTTCTGCAATGAGGGAGCAGACGAGTGGGTCCTCACTGTGCATTCTGCACAACATAGACAGCTGAGATGTGGGGGAAAGTCAGGGCAGGAGTTTTTCACATCCGTGGTGGCCTTGTGTATAAAGTGAGCAGGCAGGTTCCTGGGCTTCCACGTTCCTCCCAGAACCCGGATTTTGTGCTGGTTCCATTGGATCTCAACTCAGTTTCACTGGCTATGGACCCAACTGCTCCAGTGCCTCTCTAGTAAGTGACTTCAGTGGACACATTTTCATATCTGAATAAAATGGACTCCTTACTATGTCTTGCTAGTTCTTGCTCTCTCTCTCTCCCCTCCCCTCTCTGTCTGTCTTTCTCTCTCTTTTATCTCTCATCAGCTTCACCCAACTTTGGAGCTTATCAACTTTCCTATCCCCTTTCTTCTCTAGGCTCTCATTTCTGGGGAGCAAAGAGTGGAGTCTTGTCTGTCCATCACCACCTGTCTGCACCCACCGTGGCTGGAGTACTTTGCTTTCTGTCCCAGCAGGAAAACTACCTGAGAATGACTGTGCTTCCCAGCAAGCAAGGGGGGAGGGGAGGAGGAGCCCAGTGGCATGCTTCTATGTGTTCAATCTGGGACAGGAAGAGCAAGGCCCAGACCTGCACAGCTGTGAGTGCTGGCCTCAGGGGTTGTTTCCTGGCTCCTGCCTGAGTCTCTATCTCACTACTTCTTTCTCTACCCCACAGGCAGCCCCTGCAGCTGCTCAGGCACCTGTAGCTTCAAAGACTAAAGGCCACCTCCAGCAGACAGAGGGAGTGGGGGCTGGTTTAGGGATCTGGGGCTAAGGACCAGATTGGCAGAGAAGTCACTACTGTTCTGAGTTGTAACTCTGGGGACACTGACTGTCCTTTAATCCCTGAAGATCATTCTGTTCCCACTCTAGATTTCTGCACTGTCTTTAGTCCCTAAACCAAGCAGTCTATCTCCATTGGGATGCAAACCCTAAAGACCACATCTGGACTTTCAGGGGAGTCAGAGCCCAGGTCTTCATTAAAATTTCTTCTCATTGTAGCATGGTGCTACTGCATGTCATTCATAGCCCTACCTGGGAGGTCGAGGCAGGAGGATCATGAGTTCTTGTCCAAAATAGGCTATGTCAGATCCTGTTCATAAATTAACAAATAAACAAAGAACAAATACTTCCTAGAGGGGTAAGCATTGCCTCCCTTCTCCATACCTCTTCTTTCTCAGACTGCTATGTCTGCTGCCCAGTGGGCTGCTCCAAGTGTGCTCAGGGATGGATCTGCAGAGGGACGTCTGGTGCCTATGGGTATATCTACAGAGGGACGTCTGGTGCCCGGGGCTGTGTCTGCTGATGGGCATCTGACAGGAGCACTGGCTGTCACTGGTTTTAGGTGTCAGGACAGTAAAGGGAGCAGCATCTACAGAACTGAATTGGTTTTCCGACTACTCTGCCATATTGGCTGTCTATGGTCTTTTCTAACAAGTAAGTGAAAGACAATCAGATTTGATGACTTCATTCTGACCTGGTTGTCTCTGCGTGGCTTGGGATACGGACTGAGGTGAGTGATTTAACACCAATGAAGAGACATGGGCTGTGAACTCAAATGTTAGACTCCCACCATATGTGAACAACACAGGTAAGGCACGTTGACCTTCATCTCTCGCACGAGGAAGGGGAAGCAGCTGTTGGTGGGGGCAGAGCTCTTTTGTCCATCACGGAGCATGTGCACAGTGCGGAGCCGTCTCCATCTTCTACTTTCCTTCTCTGCCTCTCCGACCAGACCTGCTTTCGTTCCTCAGGAGGGCTGACTTGGAGGAGACTTTGGGGTGGGAAATCCAACTCTCCAGGGTTTTTCCAGTTCTACTTGGGGCTTCTCAGACTCGACATGGGGAAGAGACTTTGATCTTAATCCCTTTCAACACCTAAGCCTTCGTAGCTGAAATGATGCTAATTACAGAGAAAATTAAGCCAAAGTGCAAACCCCTGTATTAGGATCAACAGGAAACTTTCCAAACCAATGGCCGGGAGTGGGGAAAGTCAAGATACACATACACTTTCATCTTCAGGTAGAGCCTTGCTCTGTAGCTCAGCCTGATCTCTACTTCCCTGTAAGAATTTTGGCTCAGGCTCAACCATGTGCACTGTAGTTAGAACAATGTTCCCTGAGGGTGTGAATTGCAGACAGAGGCTGAAGACTTCCCCTTGGGAGAACCACACACTGTGAACAGT